AAATGTGTCACGTTTCTAATGTAAATATTTATGTACCACCCCGATGTTACACATGACTTCGGAGTAATTTGTTACAAATATCCTAAATATTATAAATTATATTAATTAGTTTAAATCTCACCATATTTATGGAATTTAAAAAACTTACTTGATTGACACCATATCCAAAATTTGGCATCATATCATTTATTCTTTTATCATTGCTAACTTTCTCCTTTTTATCATAATTATCAACATCCTGATTTACCACCTCATGACCTATAATACTTTGGTCTTTAACCATCAAAGAAAAATATAAACATAAAATACTATAATAAGTGATATGATTAATATATAATTATTATTTTCATAATTTCTAATATAAAATCAACTGAATCAATGATATTAAAAATGTTGCAAATATATAACACATCAAGTTTTCTTTTAGAGAACTTACTCCCAAATAACTTGATCTGTAAAAAAAGTAAGTTCGACATATTTTGTAAGCTTTGGTCATACATTTATTTTCAAAATAATCAATTCTATCCATTTAAAGAAATGCAATTTACTTACAGAAGCAGATTTACCATCATTAACGTGATTGTTTGCTTTTTTCGTTGTAATGCTTAATAAATATAAGGTTAAAGGTTTTAATGAAGGTTTATTTTCTGGCAACTAGAATGACCATTCTTATGATAAACACTTACCTGTCGAATATTTCATTGTTTTCTTTTCTTTTTTTAATATAATTTCTTTTTTGTGGCTTTTTAGAAAAAGAAAAATTGATCTATCGACAATGTTTATATTTTTTTTTTTTGCGTTTTTTTTTTTTTTTTTTTTTTTTTTTTTGGAAAACAATTTATTTTTCCAAGATGACAAAACATGAGTGTTGTTGTTTGGTTCCTCTAAAGAAGACGTGTTAATAACTAACCAGAGATACTATTTTTTATTTGTATTGATATTTTTATTTTAGTTGTTTATAAATATTTTAATTGGAATCAAAACGCGGAGCAGATCTTGCTGGGTAATTATAAGATCCTTAACAAGATAACAAATGAATGATTGGTATTTCGCTATTGCTTTTCATAATCGTTAATAATATTAATATATAATAAGATGTCAAGGCGCATGACTGAAACAATTCAAATATTTCGATATGTGGAGTATGATTATCGGAAATTTACAGACGTTGAAGCACACACGCTACCTCGAACACTTTACAGTCATTCTCTCACGTATTCCTCACGTACACAAGGCTAATCTGACCACGATGCTCCTGATGATACATTGATGCAACAGGATTCCAGGGAGGGGCGCAAAGCTCTGGAGTTTATCAAGATTGCATCAATCGTCAAGGACACTTTCACTAATCTTCACAACACCCAGACCAGAAAGGCTGCTGGTATGTTAGCTGAAAATTGCCTGCAACGATCCACTTCTAGGTAAGGATGGCTCTACAATTAAGTCGCTCTGTTGATGAATTGTAGTGCCATGTAAACATCCAGATCCATCAAAGCAACAAGAATCATGCAACTCGCTTCAAGCATAGGAGGTTGCAATTCAGAGCAGGGTTGGTGGGCCTGAAATTGCATTTGGGCTCTGATGCTAGGAGGAAAGCCATAAAATAAAATGGTTCAGATTTTGTTTGGTATGTTATATATAAATTAATCATTCCCAGATTTTATATTTTTCATTTGACCAACTGAACTTGTTATTTAAATGGGGTAGGGTTGTTGGTAAGTTGGCATGCCACCAACAAGACAGCAACCCAGGATTCAAAACTCTGAATTCAGGGAAAATCTAAAACAGCAACCCGGGTTGTAACCTCCTGTGTTGTAGAATTTTCAACCAGTCTTAACATCAACTTTATTCTAGTGTGAGGGGCATAACACAAAGCAATCATCACACAAATGCTGGTCCTCATCAGTGATCAATGCCCATATGGTAACAGCCAAGCCTGGTCTGAAAGGAAGATAGGGAAAGTTTTGTCCAAAGCCTTCCAACATGTGTGAAACCTCTCTGTGGAAAAAAAATTCCATGGTTATAGGCGTGTTAAGAGCACTGCATTGCATGTTTGTGATAGGAAAGTTTTACTAAATCTGATACCTGTGATCAATATCATCAGATTTATTATTCATGAGCAACCATAATTGATAATCAGGAAAAGTAATTTATTATTGTGAACCCCAGAGATCTGGGTAGACATGCATTATTAAAGCTTCATTTTTGCATGGCCTTGGTATTGTTACTACTTGGGTGATGCAATTGTTTGTTATGTCAATGATGATATCAAATGTATTGAATAATAATCATGACCATTGTGAATA